CAAAGTTATAGTTTTTCATAATATAAAATTACACTTGAAAGGATTGTAAAATTGCATTTTTAATGATAAAATGGAAAATTACAACCGAAAAGAATTGTGAAATTTCATCTTTTTTCAAGCTTCGACATAAACAAATTTACATTTTTTTTTATTTTCTGCAAAATTTCATCAAATAACAAAGTTACACTTTTTTATAATAAATATAAAATTACACGAGAAGCCATTGTAAAATTACAGTTTTGATGAAAAAATTTTAAATTACAACGGAAAAGATTTGTGAAATTCCATCTTTTTCCAAACTCATTTTTAACATTTTTTTTTGTTTTAAGTAAAATTACATTAAATAGCAAATTATTATGTAATTATGAAACTACACGAGAAAGAATTATTGCAAAATTACATTTTTAATGATAGAATGGAAAATTACAACGTAAAAAAATGTGAAATTCCACTTTTTTCCTAGCTTTGACGTAAACAAAGTTACATTTTTTTCACTTTTGTGTAAAATTACACCAAATATCAAAGCTACACTTTTTTATAATTATTATATAATTACACGAGAAGGTATTGTAAAATTACATTTTTAATAATAAAATGTAAAATTACAACTGAAGAGATTTGTGAAATTCCATCTTTTTCCAAACTCTAAATTTATGTTTTTTTCTATTTTAAGTAAAATTACATTATTAAGCAAAGACAGATTTTTATAATATGTATACTACATACTCATACTTAATATAAGTTGTAAAACTGCAATTTTAGTGATAAGATGTAAAATTACATCAAATAGCAAAGTTACAGTTTTTTATAATATAAAATTACACCTGAAGGGATTGTTAAATTACATTTTTTATTATAAAATGTAAAATTACACGAGAAGACATTGTAAAATTATATTTTTAATAATAAAATGTAAAATTACAATGGAACAAAATTGTGAAATTTTATCTTTTCTCAGGCTTTAACGTAAATGTAAATCTACTTTTTTTCTATTTTATGTAAAATACATATCAAAAAGCAAAGTTACAGTTTTTGATAATATAAAATTACACTTAAAGGGTTGTAAATTTCATTTTTTTCAAGCTCTCACTATCAGCATCACCGAATGGCGTACAAAATTCCAACGTCGTATGAACCTCGCCGACAACGAGACCCGTGCCCGCAGCGTCGACTCATTACTCAACTTCGAAACTGTTAAATACTACGGAGCGGAACAATACGAAGTCGAAGCCTTCCGTGACACCATCCTCCGGTTTCAAGTCGAAGAATGGAAATCAAACATCACCCTCAACATCCTCAATACAGTACAAAACATCATCATTTGTAGCGGTCTCCTTGCTGGAAGTCTTCTCTGCGCATGGATGGTGGTCGAAAAGGGGGAACTCAAAGTCGGCGATTATGTCCTCTTTGCCACCTACATAATCCAACTCTATGTTCCATTGAATTGGTTCGGGACCTACTACAGAGCGATACAGAAAAATTTCGTCGATATGGAAAACATGTTTGATTTGTTGAAAGAGGACCAGGAGGTGATCGATGCCCCCAATGCGGGGCCTATTACAGTCAAGAAGGGGGCTGTCGAGTTCAATAATGTCTCGTTTGGGTATTTACCCGAAAGATTAGTACTGAAAAATGTCACTTTTTCAGTACCACAAGGCAAAACAGTAGCTTTGGTACGTATTTATAATATACAGGGTGACCCAAAAAATACTACCAAAATTTTATTACGATGTTCTGTGATTGTACACGAGTGAAAATGCGTTTAAAGAAGTGGTTTATCTTGTTTTTTTTTTTAAGTTAAAGCCGATCAAAGACAAATTCTACAGGGTTATTCATAAATATGAAGCAATATTTGAACCTCAAAAATGACCTATAAAAATTAAATAATATCTCGTGTCCTATCTCTACTGATAAGAATTTTACAGCCCTCGGAATGTGGGTATGGAAATTTGATTTTTTTGTAATAACTTTGGAACTATTTGACCAAATATTATAAAATTTAACATACCCTTTGAACTGGTAATCACGAAAACCGGATACATCCACTCAATTTCCGGTTCCAGCAGTTGCAGGTCACATTTTCTGTGTTTTTCCATTTTTTTGCTCTCTTAACACCAATTTTTTATTGCCCAAATCGATAGAGCAATCAATTTCGATTAAAAAATGCATAACCTTTAATACCCCTAAAATGGACCGTTTCAAAGATATTTTAATTTAAACTGAGGACTGCACAACGCTGAAACCAAAAAGTAGGGATTTTGAATGGATGATATCCACGGTTACAAATGACCATGGTCTCACTAATCGCTGTCAGGCATCTGTCAACTTTGACATTGGACGATTATTAGACAATTAATCGAAAATATTTAATAAAAGAGTTTACCTCAGATTCCAAACATAACTTAGAATAAATCCAAATGGATCTCGTAGCATTTAATTCATAAAAAATTCACAAAAATTTATTGTCAAAGTTAACAGATGCCTGGCAGGGATTTATGTGACCATGGTCATTGGTTGCCGTGGATACCACTTATTCAAAATCCCTATTTTTTGATTTCAGCGTTGTGCTGTCCTCAGTTTAAATTAAAATATCTTTGAAACGGTCCATTTTAGGAGTATTAAAGGTTATGCGTTTTTTAATCGAAATTGATTACTCCATCGATTTGGGCAATAAAAAATTGGTGTTAAGAGAACAAAAAAATGGAAAAACACAGAAAATGTGACCTGCAACTGCTGGAACCGGAAATTGAATGGATGTATCCGGTTTTCGTGATTACCCGTTTAAAGGGTATGTTGTCAAAGGGAAATGTTCCAAATTTTATAATATTTGGTCAAATAGTTCCAAAGTTATTACAAAAAAATCAAATTTCCATACCCACATTCCGAGGGCTGTAAAATTCTTATCAGGAGAGATAGGACGCGAGTTATTATTTAAATTAACATCATTTTATAGGTCATTTTTGAGGTTCAAATATTGCTTCATATTTATGAATAACCCTGTATATACTGGGTGAATAAAAAATGTCCGAATTTACTAAGGCTAATGTTTCGTTTGGGTTTTGTTCGCAAAAATGTCACTTAATACCACAAGGTACGTATTTATAATATACAGGCTGACCAAAAAATAATGTACCAAAATTTTATTCCGATGTTCTGTGGTCGTACATGACTGAAAATGCGTTAAAAAAGTGATTTATCTTGTTTTTTAAAAAAGTTAAAGCCGGTCAAAGTCAAATCCTATATACTGTGTGAGTCAAAAATGTCGGAAATACTATTTAGTATTTTTATTTTTTTAACAAGACTTTATTTTAGTATTTGAAAAATTGGCTGAAATTGCTTGTATACGGGGTGTGTACAATTTTAAAAAACACATAATTCCTCGGTTCTTGGAAGAGATTCAAGTCTCAATTTTGGCACACCCTATATACTCGCCATAGACAATTTTTCGATTATAATACTTAAATAAATCCACTTCCGGTTTGGACGGAAATTGAGTCATTGGACCGGAAATACGGTCTAAGACAAATGTTATATACCGTATAAGCGGAAATACTCCTACTATTTAGTTTTTTGTTTTTTTATAAGATTTTATTTCGATATTTGGGAAATTGTCTGAAATTGAATGTATACCGGGTGTATACAATTTTGGAAAATCTCATATTTTCGCGGTTTTTAAGAGATATATAAGTCTTAATTTTGGCATACGCTATATATTTATCAAAGGCAATTTTTTACTTATGATTGTTAAATAAATTCACTTCCGGTTTGGCCGGAAATGCGGTCAAAGTGAAATCCTATATACTAGGCAAGAGAAAAATGTCTGAAATTTCACTTAATTTTTTTTTCTGTTTTCACAAGTTTTATTTCGATATATGTAAAATTGGTTGAAATTCCATATACAGGGTGAATATAAAGTATGGAACCAAGCGTGTTTTTTTTAATCATTTTGCCTCCAGGAAATAATAATTAATATAAATTAAAGTAATATAAAAAAATGAAATCGTATTTTAAGAATTTGTTTTTGGGTTATGCGATTTTTTTTGGTTTATGTAAAAAAAAGATAGTTGTAACCCTTAGATTATAACGTTCATGAGAAAAATATTTTATAGTGGGTCGCCATTTAAAAAAATTAAAATTTTTGTAGAACTCTAAAAGAAAAGAAAACTTTGAAAAATATTATTATTGATAAAACATCACATTTTTTAGTATTGTATCATAAATTAATTAGTTTTTCCAAAAAAAAAAAAACAAAAAACGTTTTGTTCCACACTTTTTATTTATCTTATTGTATATCAGGTGTATACAATTTTGAAAAATCCATCATTTCTCGGTTCGTGAAAGAGATACAAGTCTCAATTTTGACACACTTTATGTACTCGCCAAATACGATTTTTCACTTATAATAGTTAAATAAATCTACTTCCGGTTTGGCCGGAAATATGGACAAAGACATTCTATATACTGTATGTGTCAAAAATGTCGGAAATACCATTCGTTTTATTAGTTTTTATGCTTTTACAAGATTTTATTTCAATATTTGCAAAGTTGGCGAGAATTATGCATATATACAGGGTGTGTACAATTTTGAAAAACACCTAATTTCTCGGTTCTTAAAACATATGCAAGTCTCAATTTTGGTACACGCCATGTACTTGTCAAAGGCAATTGTTTACTTATAATAGTTAAATAAATTCTCTTCCTGTTTGGGCGGAAACTGAGTTAACTAGACCGGAAATACGGTCAAAATCAAATCCTATATACTGTTGGAAATAAAGTTTACGTTTTTACAACACTTTATTTCGATATTTGCAATATTGTATACCGGGTGTGTACAATTTTAAAAAACCCAGTATTTCTCGGTTCTGAAAAGAGATACAAGTCTCAATTTTGACACACGCTATGTACTCGCCAAAGGTGATACTTTGGCCGGAAATGGAGTCACTTTGATTTTTTTCTTTTTCAGGTTGGCCCTTCCGGTAGCGGAAAGAGTACAATAATTCGCTTATTGTTCCGTTTCTACGACGTCGAGACCGGTTCGATCATAATCGACGGTCAGAACATCAAAACGGTGACTCAGGAGTCGCTCAGACGGGCTATCGGAGTCGTCCCTCAAGACACCGTCTTATTCAACAACACAATTCGTTATAATATTAAATATGGTCGTTTGACAGCCACCGATGCTGATGTGATTGAAGCGGCACGTGGAGCCGATATCCATGATAAAATTTTAACGTTTCCTGACGCCTACGACACCCAAGTGGGTGAAAGGGGGCTGCGTTTGAGCGGCGGAGAAAAGCAACGAGTGGCAATAGCACGTACGTTGCTCAAAGCCCCCATGATTGTGTTATTGGACGAGGCGACAAGTGCGCTGGATACGCAGACTGAGAGAAATATACAAGAGTCCTTATTCAGGATGTGTGTAAATAGGACGACGATCATAGTGGCCCATCGATTGTCAACTGTCATTCATGCCGATGAAATTCTTGTCTTGAGAGACGGGGAAATTATAGAACGGGGAAAGTAAGTTGGCAACACTAACTGTCAAATTCAAATGTCATTGTTTTTTTTTCCAGACATGAACATTTAATCGGACAGGAAGGGGTGTATGCCTCCATGTGGAGGCAACAGTTGGAAAATAAGGAAAATGAAATTTTAGTCGAGTCAAGTCTCGAGAAGAGTTAATCCTCCCACCCCCTACTACTTTACTATTAGTTGCCAAGGTTTGGGGCATAATAAGAAAAAACGCTTCGTATTTGTTTTGTATTGATCAAATAAGTGGACTGTCATATCACTAGATTAAATAAAGTATTTTTATTGACATTTGTATAGAGACCCTAGGGTTGAAACAACTCATCTTCGGGGACTCTAGCAAACACTTCGTTTATGTTTTTCACCCAAACAGTCGCCATAATTTGTTCGATGGCAGCCCCAAAGTCGGCGTAGACCGCGAGGGCATTTTCGTTGATTGTTTTCATGATTTGTTCACTTAATTGTTCGTTCCCTTTGATGATGTCATCGTAATAAAAAATCACTTTTTTGGGGTTGAATTTGAACACGTGATCGGTCATTCGTAAGTGAGTTTTGCCTTTTTTTGTGTATCTCTCACATTTGAATTGGTTTTTGCCGTCGACGTCCCCTGTAACGTGTGATTTAGTGACGAGGCGGAGCCGAGTCAACTTACAAAAAGTGTTATTGCATTTCCCTTCGCCGTTTAGGGTAAATAACAGCAATTTCCCGTTGATTTTATAGTCACCTTCCATGCGCACCAAGGGGGTGAAACTGTCATAATTCCAATAACAGCTGTCTTGAGTAAAATTAGCCCTAAAATTGTTTTTTCCTATTTTGTTCTTTTAATCTAGTTACCTCACTTGGAATTTTTAATCATGGCCGAGGTGATTCCGTGAATTTTCACATTTCTGTAAATTTGTCGTAACATATCCTTGGAGGATTCCCCCAAGGTCACTTCAGGGATAGACAGGGGCTCCAACTGATTAATCCCCAAATCCCTATTCCCCATTGCCAACTTTCGAACATCTTCCATGACATACTTGTCTAAACACTGATTTAAATTAGGATCCGATTTCCGACATTTGACAATTTCAGGAGCTGAATTAATTATTGACAATTATTGTAATTAATTTAATTAATTACTCACGTAAAGTTTTGGCAAAAGTTGAACCGAGGACAAGCACCACAACTAAAATCACACTCATTGTTCTAATTCAAGACGAAAACTATTAAAAATCAGTTTATGAAAAGTATTTGTAGTGTCGAAAAGTTGAAAACCTTGTAATTTGGACATAGTTCTCGTAATTGCAGCAGTAGGGTCATTAAGGAGACAATTATCATCGGAAATTTTCAAGTTTGCGCTAATGTGCCACGAAAATGATGCAAAAACGCTGATAATGATTGTTTTTACATTATTATTTAACTCTTTTGAAATTAAAAATGGCGCCAGCTTTGCATTAGGTTGGCACCACTTTGTTTGAGTTCGCCCGAGTTTGATCAATCATTTTATATTTACGATGGCTGTAAGTATTAATAAATTGAAACAATTAGTAATTAAGATTTTATTAAATAATAATTAAATATTACATGGTGGTACCAACCATGTAACAATAATAATCGAGATTTAAATTTCAGATATTTTGGCATGTAAGACTTATTTAATTGTTATTAGTGAATTTTATGTTTAAACTGGGGCTAATTCGGAGCCCCTATTTTGTTAATTAATTTTTTTACCAAATTTTCTAGTGACTTTTTTCTGTTTCGTTGGTACGGTGTTAGTTGATTGTTTTCTCCGCTTGAAATTCAACTTAAAAGTGCAAAAAAAGCCGGTAAAACTCTAATTCCAATGGCTGTAAGTACCCCAATCTCTGTTTAACCCCTAAAATAACGCCCCCATGTGTTTAAATATCTTAATTGTCACTTTTGTGAGAAAATCGCTGCGGCATCGCATTTGACCTAACCCCACTTTTGCAGAGCGCCGCAGCTGCAAAAATCGCCGAAGTCCGCGAGACAACGCGCGTGGAGCGCATTGGGGCTCACTCCCACATTCGGGGTCTCGGTCTCGATGAGAGTCTCGAAGCCCGACATGTCTCGCAAGGAATGGTGGGTCAAGTGTCGGCCCGCAGGGCCATAGGGATTGTCTTGAAGATGGTGCGCGAGGGGCGAATCGCCGGCCGTGCGGTCTTATTGGCGGGGCAACCCGGGACGGGGAAAACGGCCATTGCCACGGCGCTAGCGGCCGCTTTGGGGCAAGACACCCCCTTCACGAGCATGGCAGGCTCGGAGATCTACTCGCTGGAGATGGGCAAGACGGAGGCGCTGACCCAGGCGATCAGGAAGAGTATTGGGGTGCGGATTAAGTAAGTATTTGGTTGTTGATGAGAGAGAGAAAGTTGCTTGGGGCTATTTGTGGGATACGTATCAATTTGAAATATTTACAATGAACTTATTTTTTTTTAAATAAGCAAATAAAGAATGCGTTTAGGCATTCATTTGTTTCAAAAATTATTTCAAATTGATGAATTCATTAATTGTTGCATTGTTGGTTGCCTATTTATAGAACACCTGCAAAATTGAAACGAACTTATTTTTTTAAGTAAGCAAATAAAGAAATGATTAAGTTAAAAAATGCGTTTAGACATTTATTTATTCAAAAAAAATATGTCAAATTGAAATACAACGAAAACGAATTTATTTTTTTAAGTAAGCAAACAAAGAAATAAATTGAGTTAAAAAATGCATTTAGGCATTTATTTATTTCAAAAATATTTCAAATTAATGAATTTATTATTTGGTGTATTGTTGGTTGCCTATCTACATAGCACCTGTAAAATTGGAATACAACGAAAACGAATTTATTTTTTTAAGTAAGCATCCAAAGAAATGAATTGAGTTAAAAAATGCGTTTAGACATTTATTTATAAAAAAAAAATATTTCAAATTAATGAATTCATCAATTGGTGTATTGTTGGTTGCCTATTTATTGAACACGTGCATAATTGAAATACAACGAAAACGAACTTATTTTTTTTACGTAAGCAAACAAAGAAATGAGTTGAGTGAAAAAATGCGTTTAAACATTTATTTATTAAAAAAAAATATTTTAAATTAATGAATTTATTAATTGGTGTATTGTTGGTTGCCTATATATAGAACTGCAAAATTGAAATACATACAATGAAAACGAATTTATTTTTTTAAGTAAGCAAACAAAGAAATAAATTGAGTTAAAAAATGCGTTTAGACATTTATTTATTTTAAAAAAATATTTAAATTAATGAATTTTTCAATTGGTGTGTTGTCGGTTGCCTATTTATTGAACACGTGCAAAATTGAAATACACAAATTTATTTTTTTTAAGTAAGCAAATAAAGTAACAAATTGAGTTCGTATTCAATAGATTTTTTCACGCTTGTTCTGACTTAACGTAAATTATCAATTTTTTCGATTTTACTCCGCTCACCGTCAAAAAATTCAAAAATTCTTAATTTTTTTAACTCGGCCCAATAACGTTTTCTGCCCTTTATTGAGTCTTTAGGACCTCTAGAAATGTAAAAAAAATTTAAGAATCCATTTTAAATATAAATTTTTTTGATTTTCGTTGAGATTTTGGTCGATTTTTGGTACCCAACTTATTGGCGCTAGCCTTTTGTATTTGGGATCGTTGGAAAGCAAATTTATTTTCTATCATAGGCAAAAAAATCAGTGTTCTACGACAATTAGTTATTGAGAAAATTGCTGATAAAATCAAAAAAATTTGGAAAATATAAATTCGACTATAACTTCTAAACTATCAGGAATTTTGCGGTTTCCTCGACGCCAATCGATTCCTCGGAACATTTTACATCTGTCTACGTCAAAATACATATATCATTGAGGTACAGTTTTGCGGCCATTTAAAATAAAAAAAATTATTGCTGTCATCTTCAAAAATTAAAAAATTCGTAATTTTTTAAACTTAACTCGATAATGTTTTTGCAGGTTTTTGAGTCTTTAAAACCTATGAAATGTTAAAATCGTTGTATGGATCAATTTGAAAGTTTATAATTTTTTTGATTTTTCTCGAGATTGTGGTCGATTTTTGGTGGTAGTCCTTTATATTTGTCACGGTTGGAAAGCAAATTTAATTTTCTATTATATACAAACAAGATCATTATCATTTAGGCATTAATATTGCAAAAAAAATACTAATTTCTTCAAAATGATTAAAAATTCCATAATTCGTGTATAGTTGGTTGCCCATTTACAGGTGCAAAATTGAAATACAACGAACTTATTTTTTTAAGTAAGCAAATAAAGTAATGAATTGAGTTCGTATTCACGTTGATTACGATGGTGTTGGACTTTCTGCAATAGTTCTATAGTTTTTTCAAAATGTTGAAGAATTCATCACTTGATGTATTGTTGGTTGCCTACTTGCCATTTTGTAATTATTTGGCAATTGAGTAAATAATTTCGCCACGATATTTTTCTTGAATTTCAAAGGGAAGAGAGCGAAATAATCGAAGGTGAGGTGGTGGAGGTGCAAATCGAGCGTCCTGCGACCGGCGTTGGCACAAAAGTGGGCAAATTAATTCTAAAAACGACCGAAATGGAAACCGTATACGACCTTGGTGGCAAAATGATCGATTCGTTATTGAAAGAGAAGGTTCAATCAGGCGACGTGATAACAATAGATAAGGCCACTGGTAAAATATCGCGTCTGGGACGTTCTTTTGCACGTGCAAGAGACTACGACGCCACTGGCCAACAAACTCGTTTTGTTCAATGTCCCGAAGGTGAATTACAAAAGCGGAAGGAAGTGGTCCATACAGTGACATTGCACGAAATCGATGTCATTAATAGTCGAACACATGGATTTCTAGCACTATTTTCTGGTAATTTAAATTTCGGTTGATTGTCGCTCCCTACTTTACCGACTTTTCAGGCGACACCGGCGAGATTAAACCGGAAGTTCGCGAACAGATCAATGGTAAAGTGGCGGAATGGCGCGAAGAAGGTAAAGCGGAAATGATCCCTGGTGTACTTTTTATCGATGAGGTCCATATGCTCGATATTGAGTGTTTTTCGTTTTTGAATCGCGCGCTCGAAAACGAAATGGCGCCGATTGTTATTATGGCAACGAATCGGGGAATTACACGAATTCGCGGTACGAATTACAAATCACCGCATGGGATTCCCCTCGATTTACTCGATCGGATGATAATCGTGCCCACAGCGCCCTACGATGAGAAGGAATTGAGGGAGATTTTGAGTATTCGGTGTGAGGAGGAGGACTGTCAAATGTCAGATAATGCGTTGACTGTTTTGACACGAATTGCGAAAGAGACGTCATTGAGATACGGAATGCAGTTGATCATGACATCGAGTTTAATTGCACGGAAACGAAAAGCACCGGAAGTGGACGTGGAGGATATCAAGAGGGCGTATCAGTTGTTTTTTGATGAGGGGAGATCTGTGCAGTTCTTAAAGGAGTATCAACAGGAGTTTATGTTTAATGAAGGTGAGTTGACAAAACTAAAAAAATGTTTTTCAAATAATTATTATTAATGATGTTTCAGATGACGCCGCTGAGATGGACACGAGTTAATCGCACTACCTTTGACGCTTGACCCGGGAATTTTATTGACACTCGGATTTTCCTTCTTTTTTTTGTGTAAATTAGACATAATTGCATTGCGTTCTAGTTCGGATGAATGGTGAAATATCCTCTCAGGTGTGTTGAGAAATTTCCATGATGTTAGTCGATTTTTTATAATGTTACGTTTCATGCGAAATAATTGGGGAAAACGACAATTTTATGTCAAATTTGCTTGTTCGAAATTTGGACGTTTCCTTAATCTTCTCGAATCAAAGTGTCACACTTGAAATATTTACATAATTTGTTTTGTAAGTTTGCGTATTTTTTTAAATAAAGCATTTTACGACTTTTGTCTCAATCCTCACTTAAATCCAATATTGTGAAGGTGATTAACTAGTTATTTTCTGCGTTTTTTAACCTTAAGAGGTGTTGCAACACATGTTTAATTTTATTTAGTTACTTAGTGGATTCTTAGTCAACATGACAAAGAACTTAACCCAGTGTTGCCTGTGCAAAAAATTTAATTCACCCAGATTTGAGCTGGAAACGTTGCCAAATTTACACTCGTTTTCACCAGATTATGATTAAAATTTTTCTAATACTGCTGAAGCTTTATATTTTTTACAAGAACGTGGTTGAAAAAGGTACAAAAACCTAATTTAGTAACCTTTCATCTTGATTTTAACCACACTGCAAAATATTTACGTTTTTATCTGAAAAACACGTGAAAAAAAAAAGACAGAAATAATGACTCAATTTTGTGTTTTTTAGCTCAAAAACAAGCTAAATCGGATAAAAAAAATAAATCATCAATTCAGATTTATTTTTGTAATTTTAGGCATGTTTTCTGGTTCAGAAACGAACTAAATCGAGCAAACTAATATTAATTTAAATCTACGGGGTGCGCCAGAACTCGCGCCCTAGAGAAAAATGGAAGAAATGTTAAAAAAAAAAAATCTATAAAAATTTCGAAGTTAGAGGGTTTAAAGTTTGCACTTTGACTCTATTTATTTCTGTTGGAAAAATAATTTTCCAAGTTTTTTTGCTATAGTCTATTAAAAGAGGAAACAAGGAAGCTCTATCCTAATTTGTAACTCTGTTGAATGTTATTTGTAGCTTTTATTGGCAAAATTTTTGTCTCTTTACTAAATAATTGTAAAAAAAACATACACAAGATTATCAGTATCCTTAAATATATAAAAAAAATGTCAAATGTCAAAATTTTTGACATATGGAATTTTTTAAACATTTTTTTCATGTTTCTGGTATCTTACCTTACTTGAAAATTTTCTATGGGGCGCGAATTCTGGCGCACCCTGTATATTTAGTAAATTTTTATCCAGTTTTTGCAAAATTCTTCGAAAAAACTTTAAATGTGTTTAAACACTAAAAATGCAAAAATAGCACCAGTTTTGCTCTAATTGGTAAATTTTCGGTTTGTTTCTAAAGCAATTTTGCAAAATTGTTCTGTTTTTAGCTAAAAAAATGTACTAAAACGCCCCGAGAAAGGCTAAAATAATTTAAATTTTTGCTTCATAGACATTTTTTCGGCTTATTTTAGACATAATTTCACTAAATAATTGCCTAAAATTGTGCTAAAACGCTAAAAAAAATGCACTAATTGTAAAGTGTTGGGCCGAAAAAGGCAAAAATTGTATTTTTTTATGTAATCATGTGATTTCTCCTGCATTTATAACACTCACCACTACGTGGCTCGTGTCCCAAACTATTCGTATCACAATGAGATATTGTAACACTTTTAATATATTATTTCGACCCAATTTAATGACTCTGTTGTGTGAAATGTCTTTAAAAACGAATAAAACTATTTTCTTAACTAATTTGATGATTTTTGACTTATAATTTTGAGAAAATTTAGCACAATAATTGAGTTTTTGTCTAAAAAACGTGCAAAATGCTCAAAAATGCAAATGTCTGCATTTTGACACAATTTACTAGGTATTTTAGTAATTAAAAAATCGTATTTTGTTAATTAAGGATTGCACAAAAGAGTTAATTTTACCAAATGTTTGGGTGAATCTCGATTTAAAAAAATAAGACATTAATTTTCTACTGTGAATGCAGTTACATTTATAAGAAAAAATCACTAAAAAGTTACTAGACTAGCTCAAAAATCACCAAACCTTGTAAACTGCCTAATTTTCAGTTATTAATCGTTTTTTTTTGTAATTAGTCTCCATTTTGGTTCTTTAAAAGACATATTAAAAAACGTGACGTCATGTTTTATCACATAAAGGCGACTAGATCAAATTTTGACTTTAAAAATTTCCATTACCAAACGTCACAACAAACCCTAAATCATTTAAAGTAAAAAAATATTTAAAAACGGCATAAAGAGGGCAAATGACAAAAAATAGTATAAAAAAAACCGTTTCATAAGACTTTAAAGCACTCGTTTTTTAAACTTGAATTCGTGCTTCAAAACTAGTTTTATGAAACTTGTTTTTTAATATACTATTATTCTAATTAAGCGTGTAATGAGTTGAAAAAAACTCTTTTATTTTAGGGAATGTTGTAAATTACATTTTTAATTAGTTTTATTGAAACGTCTTTATTAATCGAGAAATGCCGAGTTTTCCCATGTTGGTAAGGGTTCAATGACCTACAAATGTCAAATTTCTGTCCATTATGACTTAAAAATTGTTTTTTTAAAAAACACAATAGTAAAATAAATAATTGCGTCGATTAATTCCATCTGTTTACTCTCTTGTCTTGAGTAATAATTCCTTTTAAGGGAAATAAAGGAATAATTAGCTAATAACTAATTTGATGCTGTTATAAACGTTGAAAACAAATTGTTTTCTGCAAGATGGTTTTTTAATTTGTTTTTTATTTATGTTGGTCCATTGCAAAGCAATAATGACCCAAAGTCAGATTGCTTTTCTTGCGTTATCGTCATTAGCAATTTTTTTTTCTGGTGTGTATATCGGCGTGCGGTTTCGTAGATGTGTGCGCGGCTCTATTTCAGTATATAAAAGAGACAAAGTGGAACATATCGACAGGATTTCCCCCTCGACCGAAGTTGGTATTACTTCTCAGTCTCAAGTAAAAACTACCTTCACTCGTGGATTATTGTGTGAACTATGGGTCGTTTTTGTGTCACCGTTCTTTTACTCGTTGGAGGTTTTTTTACCACACAGGCGGCCAAATTACGTAAGTATTACACAATTCGAAAAAAAAAATAATTATAAAATCGGTTATTTTAAATAGCAATTATTGTGACTGTGCGTTTTTGTAGCAAGCACTTTTAAACGGTGCCACAAAAGTGACCCCAAATTCGACGACTGTCTCGTCGTCAACATCGAGGACGCCATCCACCAACTAAAAAATGGTAATTTTGATTTTTTTTTTAATCTAAACTCCGGAATATTTTTTTTTGGTACAAAAAAATTTTGTTAAAAACAAGCCAAAAATTCCAAGAATATTTTTGCCTTTGTCGACTGTTAAAGCACATTTTTGATATAAAACATTCTAAAAATTACAAAATTTTGTTCGATTTTCTTCATTTTTGAACTAGAGACTTATTTATTTTGCAAAATCTTGTCCAAATATGCTTAAAAGTCATAAGAAAGACATGATATTCATGTTATTTTGTTTTGGTCGTGGATTTTGAGCGCAATTTAGTCAAAAATAAGCCGAAAAATCACATTTGGTCGAAATTTTTTCTACTAAAATCTCAAATTTTTCGTTAAAATAAAACAAAAAATTAGTAAATGAAGTCGAGAATTATATTATTTTTGCATTTCGTGAGCGTTTTAGCACGTTTTCCACCTAGAAACCCAATTATTTTGTTAAAAACAAGTCAAAAACTGAACAAATGAGCCAAAAATGGTGTTGTCTTTGTCTTTTTCAAATTTTTTAGTAAACAAATTTTTTAATTATTGATATAGGAAATTAGGTTTAAATGATACTATTTTTACACCTTTTTGAGCAATTTCCACGTTTTTAAATTAAAAATTTGTCGTTTTGCTAAATTTTTAACAAAAAAAAAATCGAAAAATTTGTTTAAACATTTCAAGAAATTACAAAATTAAATCCGTTTTGATATACTTTTTAGCTAGTTTTGTTCGATTTTCTTCATTTTTGAACTAAAGACTTATTTATTTTCCAAAATCTTGTCCAAATATGCTTAAAAGTCACAAGAAAGAAATGTTATTTATGTTATTTTCTTTGTATAACTCGTGGATTTTGAGCACAATTTAGACAAAAATAAACCAAAATATCACATTTGATCGAGAATTGTTGTACTAAAATCTCAAATTTTTCGTTAAAATAAAACAAAAAAAAGTAAATTAAGTGGAAAATTATCTTATTTTTGCATTTCTCGAGCGTTTTAGCGAGTTTTCCAGTTAGAAACACAAGTATTTTGTTAAAAATAAATCAAAAATTGAACAAATGAACCGAAAATGGTGTTGTCTTTGTCTTTTTCAAATGTTTAGATACGTTTTTTAATACACTAATGTTTTAATTATTGATATAGGAAATTAGGTCTAAATGATACTATTTTTACAACTTTTTTTAATTAAAAACATATTTTGCTGAATTTAAAAAAAAATGAAAAAATTTGTTTAAACAATCCAAAAAAATTATAAAATTAAATCAGTTTTGTTATAGTTTTTAACTCATTTTGATCGATTTTTTTCATTTTTGAACTAGAGACTTATTTATTTTGCAAAATCTTGTCCCAATATGCTTAAAAGTCACAAGAAAGAAATGATGTTCATGTTATTTTTTTGTTTTACTCAATTTTGAGCAAAATTTAAACAAAAATAAGCCGAAAAATTACATTTGGTCGAAAATTTTTGTACTAAAATCTCAAATTTTTCGTTAAAATAAAAGAAAAAATTAGTAAAGCAAGTCGAAAATTATATTATTTTTGCATTTCTCGAGCGTTTTAGCACGTTTTCCAGCTAGAAACAATTATTTTGTTAAAAACAAATCAAAAACTGAACAAATGAGCCAAAAATGGTGTTATCTTGGTCTTTTTCAAATGTTTAGGTACGTTTTTGAATACACTATTTTTTTTATTAAAATTAATTAATATAGAAAATTATACCAGGTGAATAAAAAGTATGGAACCAAACGTTTTTTGCTTAAACTATTTATTTTTTGAAAAAATTAATTGATGAGTGATAAAGTGCTATAAAAATGTGATGATTTAACAAGAATAAAATTTTTCGAAATTTTCTTTTGTTTTTGAGTTCTACAACAAAAATCTACCTTATATTTAATTTTTTCAAAAAAAAAATTCACATAAATTGCACAATTTTGACAAAAAAAATCGCGAAACTCAAAAACAAAACAAAATTTCGTTCTGAAAATACGATCACATTTTTTATATTACTCTAATTTATATTAATTATTATTTTCTGGAGGCAAATGATCAAAAATAAAACCGCTTGGTTCCAAACTTTATATTCACCTGTATATATTATATTCATGTTATTTATTTTATTTGTTTTACTCGTGGATTTTGAGCAAAATTTAAACAAGAATTAACGAAAAAACACACTTTACTAAAATCTCAAATTTTTCGTCAAACAACAAAAAATTAATACACTAATTTTTTCCAAAAAAAAAATCGAAAAACCACCAAATTGGTTAAAAATACTTATATTTGTTTTTTGCGAGATTTTGTTTCTTTTTTTTTAACTAGAAACACAATTATACTCTTTTTTATATTAATGTGCACGAAGTAGATTGTAGAATAAATAAATAGATTGTAGAAATTTCAATGCATCTTTAATTAAAGGCCGATTCACACAAATGTCATTAATGTCATTCAGAGCAAAAATCACATCAGTAATGACAAAAATCTTCAAGTTTGCAACTATGTTAATTACGTGTTATTTTTAATTATTGTTTACTACCTGGGGTGCACAATTATTTACAAAAATAATTTTTAGGAAGATTAAGGTTAGGATTGTTAAAATTTTCGCATGGTTGCCACCCTAAAATTTTTTCAACGACTACTTCGATGCCCAGTAATATGAATATTTTGTGTTCAAATGATTGCTAAATATTTTTGAGCCCAATTTTGCTAAAACAAGAGTGAAGAAGAATTCAGTTCAAGTATCGAAGATTGTCGCAAGAAATCTTTAACTTTCACTCGCGACCCTTCAACCTCTGCGAAATGTTTCCAAGTTTTTCACCTCTAACATTGACCAACAATTGCACAACACTTGCGCAAACACATTATGTCACATTTCAGGCGCCCCTGAACTTGGTTTGGACTCCTTCGAGCCCCTCCTTATATCAGAATTGATAATTGGGGAAGGATCCGGTCCTGTTAACGTCCAACAAAATTTCAAAAATGTCAAATTACACGGCCTCACTGGATCGAAAGTGTTGAGCCACAAGTGAGCGATTTTACATAAAAGTATGTCTTTTGAACATTATGCAATTCTCAGAGCCCACTTGGAGAATAACATGCTGTTTGCACAGTCAGTGACGCCAATGTTACGCTTGGAGGCCGATTACGACATGAAAGGACGAGTTTTGTTACTACCAATTTTCGGAAATGGACCTTGTAATGTCACTTTAGGTAGTGGTGCCAACCTTGCAACCCCAAAAGCCCTATTTCATTAAAGCATTCGTTTGTAGTCAACACGAAAATCAACCACACGCTTATCGGGGAGCCCTTTGAGCGCAAGGGCCGGACTTTCCTCAAATGGGTGGACTACAAAGTGACCCTTCGCCCCGAAATTGTCAAATTTCATTTCGCTAATTTATTCAACGGTGATGATCGACTCGGAGACGAAATCAACCGAGTGATCAACGATAATTGGGATGCTGTCTTCACCGATGTCAGAGACGGCTATGAGAAGAGTTTCGGGTTGATTTTCAAGGATTTGGCCAATCGGGTTTTCACACGTGTGCCACTCAAAGACATATTTCTGGAGTAAAATCCGGTTTTATTTAGTATTTCTAGTTTGTAGTTATAGACTGTTTATTTTTGTATATTTTCCAATGAATAAATGATTTTAATATTGACCCAGTTAGACAGACAGGTTTGTGTCATTGACTTTTGCTATATATTGGGAAAAAATTGCGAAATTAGAATTAGAAACATGAACGGTGTGATACTAGTGGTTTTCTTTGCGACGGTTGGCTACACTGCCAAATTGCGTGAGTTGGCACACTTAACCTAATTCAATTAATTCAAATTAATTAGCGTCCAGTTTCACGAAATGTGACCCCAACAACCCCAAATGTTTGACTAAATCGGTCGAAAATGCCGTAAAACAATTAACTAAAGCGTTCAAAGATGTCGGGTTGCCAAATTTAGAACCCTTGGAGGTACCATCACTGACTATTGGTACCAACTCTGGTACCCAACACCACTACAAAGATGTGAAAATTTCAGGATTCACCAAACTCACATGTACCAACATAAGGTACGTAGTAATTAATTAAAACGAATTAACTAAATTAGTAATTAGTTTTGGGAATAAGACCCTCAAAATGGAGTGCACCATTCCGCAACTGCGACTTGATTTCCAATACGAGATTAAGGGAAAAATCCTTTTGGTACCAATTTACGGCAAAGGGCCTGGCTCAATTACCCTAAGTACGCCCAAATAATTTAATTACACTTAATTACGATCATTTTTAGACGATTTAGACTACGTCCTGACGTTTCAATTGGCCGAAATTACGAAAAAAAGCACCAAACATTTTAAAGTCGTCGATAGTAAACTCGAAATGAATCCGAAATCAATTCAATTCAAACTTGAGAATTTATTCGGGGGTGACAAAACCTTAGGTGATAACATTAATCAAGTCATGAATGAAAATTGGAGGGAGGTTTTCGCCGACGTTAAAACGAGCTACGAGGAAGCCTTTTCGAAAATATTTTTTTCGGTTTTTAGCAATTTTCTGGCAAAAGTGCCGATCTCGGAAATATTTAATAGCGAATAGAGTTGTTTCAAAGAAGTTACAACAAATTATTTATGTGATGTAGGCAACCAGTTATACATTAATTTATTATTTATGATATTTATATTATTTGTTATAATAAATGTTGAAAAAAAAACTGTTTGATTTGTCGATTAATACACGAGTGAAACTAATTAATTTGAAATTTTATTAAATTATGTTAATTAATCGGAAAAATGTCAATGTAAAAGCTTGTCGTAGGCAATCAGTTATACACAGTGGGTACATTAATGTGTCTACATTTATGACATTTAATTTATGTCTCGTTATGGTAAATAATGGAAAAACTGTTTGTTTTTGTTGACTGTTACATGAGTGAAAGTAATTAATGTTGAATTCTAATAAATTATGTTAATTAGTCGGAAAAATGTCAATGTAAAGACTTGTTGTAGGCAACCAGTTGTACACTGTATACAGTGGTCTAGATTAGTTGATTACTTATGACTTATGATAAATGTTGAAAAAGCTGTTTTATATGTTAATTATTACATGAGTGAAAATAATTAATTTTGAATTGTAATAAATTATGTTAATTAGTCAATGTAAAAGCTTGTCGTAGGCAACCAGTTATACACAGTGTGTATAGGTGGTCTACATTAATTAATTATTTATGACTTATTGTATTTTTGTTATGATAAATGAAAAATTGTTTTATTTGTTGATTATTACATGAGTGAAACTAGTTAATTTGAAATTTTAATAAATTTTGTCGAAAAAATGCCAATGTAGACGCTTATCGTAGACAACCAGTTATACACAGTGTGTATAGGTGGTCTACATTAATTGATTATTTATGACTTATAATTAATTTGAATTTTTCATTATGATAAATATTGAGAAAACAGTTTTATTTCTTGATTTTACATGGGTGAAAGTAATTAATTGGGAATTTGATCTAATTATGTTAATTGGTCGGAGACAGAAATGTGAAAGTAAAAGTTGTGTACGAACATTTGTAGAATTTTCCTAATTCATTGCAAATCTTGAAGCTAACTGTGTTACTGCACTCAATTAACTAAATTACTTAACTGTTAATGGCATTGACATTGATCTTGACTGGTCGTTTCAATATTTCCGGGTCAAATATGAAATTTATGAAAATATTATAACAAACATAAAAATTGCATTTTTCGAAAGAAAATTGATGGTATTTTTGCGTGCTAAACCTTGAAACAAGTTATTTTAAAAAAATATCTGGATTTATCGAGGGCAGAGAAGCGGTTAACGTCGCGTCGCAAAAATTTATAAAAAGGTAAAGAATCCGAAAAATAAAAGACACGCGAAATTGAAATCTAACTATGTATTTAAATAAATCTTCAAAAAATAATACTAAAAAATCAGTTGGTTAACTGATAAAATACTAAATAAAAGTTGTCAAAAATTCTCAGATTCGTTTTTGTGTCACTCTTGAGTGAAAATCTACAAAACAGATGGTAATGCAGGTCCGAACCTTCCATAATTTTCACCCAGTGTCCCACATTTCGCCCCAATCAATCGCATAACGGAAGCCCAAACTGGTTTGCAATCCCAACATTAATATAAAAGAAAAGATTCGCGCGAATCTGGGCCTCCAACACCATGAAGACACTTCATCTCGTAATAAGTCTCTCAATTTTGTGTTATTGCAACTCCCGGAAACTCCGTAAGTAGCTCAAACTCCCCCAAGACAATACTAAGCCTTCCCCAGCACCAACTTTCAAAAAATGCAACGCTAACTCCCCCAACTTCAATCAATGTCTGGCCGAAGCCATCCCTGATGCCATCAGACAACTGAAAAATCCCATGAAAAAAATCGGATTGCCGAGTTTTCAGCCACTTGTGATCCCGGAAATGACCATTGCTCCTGGAGAGGGCCTTTTGGGATTTTTCCAGAATTACACCAACTTGCGAGTTGAGGGGTTCAACAAGATAAGTTGCCACAAAGTCGAGTAAGTTGAATTTAATTCGAATTGATTTAATTTGATTCAGTATGAATTTCGAGAGCGAGATTTTAACGATGAGCTGTGCTTCCCCGCAACTCAGAGCCGACTTTGATTACTTGTTCAATGGGTCGGTCTCGATTTTGCCCATCTATGGGGACGGTAACGGATCAATTGTTTTAGGTAATTAAAATTATTTAAAAAAAATTCTAATTGTTTATTTCCAGACGATGTCAAGTGTTTCCACACTTTTTACATGAAAGGTTACCAAAAAAAGGATAAAACGCATTTCAGGGTTACCAACAGCACCCTTGATATAAATCCACAACGTGTCACCATCCAGCTTAATAATCTCTACAATGGGGACAAAAATCTAGGGGACAATTTAAATCTCTTCATTAATGAGAACTGGAGTGATTTTTACCATGAACTGAAACCATTATTTGAGGAGGGCTTTACCAGAGTTTTTGCCGCTTTATTTGATAGTGTGTTGAGGAGAGTGCCGGTCAGTGACCTTTTTGAAGGTTACTAGGACGCACAATTGTAATTATTTTAATTTATTTACTGTATTTATTCTTTTTTCGTTAAGAAAACAAGCGTGTGTATGCAACCAAGAATACACAAAATTGTTAAAAATCTTTAAATAATAACCAAACTACGTTGTTTAGCTTTTATTGTATTTCAAAGAATGCTTTAAGCGATTACTAGTAAAATAAACGATGTAATAGTATTGCATTTTTGTTTTATTGGAACGCCAAAGTTATGCAACCAACTTAACAAAAATAATTTAATTGAAATTTGACAATGAAACGATTACGGGTATTTTTTAATAATATTTTAGTTATGTGATCCTAAAACTCCCAACTCTTCAAAAAATCACAAAATTTTCAATTTCTAAAATGTGGAATACCTCCTCGCGTTTATGTAATCCTGATATTTTGAAATTTTTTCAGTCTTAGAAATATGAAATACCTCCTCGCGTTTATGTGATCCTAATCCTTACTCCTGATATTTCAAAAAAAATTCAGTTGTAAAAATATGGAATACCTCCTCGCGTTTATGTGATCCTAATCCTTACTCCTAATATTTCAAAAATTGCAAAATTTTCAATCTTTAAAATATGGAATACTTCCACGCGTTTATGTAATCCTGACATTTACTCCTGATACTTCGAAAATTTTTCAGTCTTAAAAATATGAAATACCTCCTCGTGTTCATGTGATCCTAATCCTTACTCCTAATATTTCAAAATTTACAAAATTTCCAATTTTTAAAATGAAATAACTCCTCGCGTTTATGTGATCCTGATATTTTCTCCTAACTTTTCGAAAATTTTTCATTTAAAAAAACCGAATACTTCCTTGCGTTCATGTGATCCTAATCCTTACTCCTAATATTTCAAAAATTTCAATTTTTAAGATGGAATACTTTCTCGCGTTTATTTAATCCTGATATTTACTCCTGATATTTCGAAAATTTTCGGTTTTAAAAATATGGAATACCTCCTCGCGTTTATGTGATCTTAATCCTTATTTCTAATATTTCAAAAATTGCAAAATTTTCTATTTCTAAAATGGAATACCTCCTCTTATTTTTGTGATCCCAATACTTACTCCTGATATTTTTTTTCAATTTTCAACTCCACAAATCAATTTCTGACAAATTAGAAGACAAAATGATGCTTTAGTTAATGACTAGTAAAACAAATAATTCGATTTAAAAAGTCAATTTATTTAACATAAATGGTACAAAAAATACTGACAATAACAAAGTCTCTGAAAAAAAATAATCATTGTTCATTTTGTTTTTTCCCATTCAAACTGAGATACATGTTTACCAACTGCGTCCCATAACATCGTCCCAAAAACGATGGCAATGATTCACTCTGAACCGAATTGGGATTAAAAACCCCATTTAAAAACTCTCCGATGATTTTACAAGTGTCATTTATAGTTTCGGGCACCGCTTCAGGAATAATAGGTGTTTCAGGCGTCTTAGATTGTCTTCTAGGCTTCCTGAGCTGTGTTTTAGGCTTTTCCGCCTGCGGAGTGGGTGTGTTAGAAGTCTGAGGTTGTGTTTTAGGCGTCTGCGCTCGCGCAGTTGTGTTCGGAGTCTTAGGTTGGCTTCTAGGCTTCCTAACTTGAGTTTTAGGTTTCTGCGCTTGCGCACTGGATGCGTCAGGAGTCTGAGGTTGTGTTTCAGGCATTTGCGCTTGCGCAGTGCTTGTGTTCGGAGTCTTAGGTTGTCTTCTAGGCTTCCTAACTTGTGTTTTAGGCTTCAGGGTGTTAGGAGTCTGAGGTTGTGTTTTAGGCTTTCGTCCGCGTGTTTTAGGTTTCTCATGAAAGTGGCTTTTGACCCAACTTGAGGTCCTTGAATTGGGTGAGGTTTCTGGAAGTGTTTGGAAAGAGAGTGACTCAGTTCGATTTTTCTTTGCCGGTGATAATTCATTTTTCTTGTCTTTTAGTTGTGAATCAAGAGAACGTTTCAAACTCGATCGAACGAAAAAGTCCGAAGTTGTTTTCGATTTTTCCTGTCCACTTAAAAATAATATTTCGGGGTTAGCAATCTTAACCCCTGTTGGAGTCATAACAATTTTTGTTTTCTCTTTTGAAGGTTTTTTGAGTGGTTTTTTATTGATTTTTGGTCGACTTTTTGCAACAACTTTCGTTTTATTTTTAGTTGTACTAGACTTTTTTACCGAATTTTGGGGAATTTTTGTTCTTTTCGGTGATTGAAATTCGGAACTCGACGAAGTCATGTTACGAGTCAAAGATGGCGCTGTTTTATCCTCACTTAATATATTTTTAAGAAACTTTCCGATCATTTCTTGTTCGTGGGGAGACTGAACAGTGAGAAGCGACCTCAAAGCATCACCAACAATTCCACCATTTGGTTTTTCAAGGAGAGAAACACTATTTTGAACAATTACAGGAACCTGTAATGCCGGGTTTGCTTTCTCAGCTTCGGGAATGGAAGGTGCAGGTTGTACCAACCTAACAGGACAATTGTTCCCAACTGACGAATTAATTACCTCAGGGGGTCTGACAGTTATAATAGGCCTAAAATTTTTATTACATAATGAAAAAATAAGAAGAATTATAAGTTACCTTGGTGTTGCATCTGACACAGCTGTTTCTCTTTGATCACCATTTTCACTACAATTATTAAAATTAATGAAATTAACACCAATTAATTATACTTACGTGTCACTTATGGATTTAATGATTTGCCTAATTATTTCCCTGCCAAGTAGAGTTTCGTCACTATTTGAATTTTCCTTGTCAGAATTTATCACAGCCAAAGCCCTGAAAATTCTACTTAATAAACTAATTGAAATTAATTGAAACTTACTCATTTGGGTCTTTTTCAGTTTTTACATCATCTGTAATCACAATAACTTCACAATCATCATTTGGACTAAAATTTAATTTAGTTAATTAATTATTTAGTTTCAATTCTCTTACATAATAGCCTCCTTAAGTTCTATTTTAGTTTCAGGCATATCATCATCATTAGTTAAATTTCTGAAATCATTTACGATTAAATAATTAATTAATTGTAATTATTTGCTTACATTTCAATGATTGGTTCTTTCTTGACATCAGAAATATCATCATCAGTTAAATCTCTGCAAACAATTAGCTCACAATATAAAGTTTAAGACATGTACAAACACTTACATCACTTGTGTCTCTTTTTTAATTAAATTAATTGAAGATAAATCGCTTATGACTCCGCTCCTGAAAATTAGTAAAAATTTCAGAGGGAGACAATTTTCGCAAAAAACTTACGTTTGAGACTCGTTGGTGTTGATATCGCGACCAGTTTCAGGCTTAATATTACTTGTGGAAACCCTGAAACACCCAAATTTGCTTTTTGTAAACAAACAAAATTTTAAAGACTCACAATTCACCACTTTCAGCTTCATTTTTGACAAGAATTTCCGTTTTGGGCTGTTGTTCGTCGGCTTCAAATACGTTTAAGGTAAAATCCTCGTCAATTTTAATGTTTTTCCACATTTTTCAGTCTATAATCATACCATAACCTCACTTGATAAGGCACTTGGAAACCACCTAAATCGTAAATTAATACAAAAAATTTGGTAATTTCTCTTTAAAAAATTGATAATTGGGCTTACTTCAGCCGTTTTTTGTCAAATTTCGGCAATAATCAGCGATAGGAAATAATCCATACTCCTGAAACTTCGATGTGAGTCTCTTAACATCGAATATTCACATCGATAATTGTTAATTTCACGTTTAATAAAAAAACAACATAAATTAAGTATTTTTCTCATCATTAAACTTACATTAGCGTTATTTAGTCAAATTTCGGCCTTAATTATGAATGAGAAGTAATCTATACTCGAAACGGTCAATGAACATTTCAACATCGAATTTCTTACATCGAAAATTATTAATTTTATAATTAATAAAAAAATTGAAATAAATAAATTGCGTATTTTTTTAATTATGTAAGTAAAGCTCCAAATAAAATTACTACCACATTGCAATAATTTTTACAAGTCTGAGTCCTTGTGACTTTTGTACCTGTCAAATGGCAACATTGCGACTACGTTTTTTGGGGTAAAATACAGGTTACCAACCACAAATTTTACATCGAAAAATAAAACCAATTTGCCAAGTATACAATAGTCGTACCGTGAGATCAAAAAAAAAAAAAAAATTAGAGTAGGCGTCGATTAAATTCTACATTGGCTGGGAATCTTTGCTAGAAATTTTCCACCCAAACTCAAAAAAGTGAGAATGTCGATTCACCGTTTTCGTCTTGTACAGCATTTTTGTAATAACTTGCAACAATTATTTCACTCAAAATGAATAAAATGCACTCTTGTCAAAGTTTCCGCTGAAATTTGTTGTCAAAAATCAGGATTGCCATCTGAAGGACTTTAATCACCGCCTACTCTAATTTTTTTTTCGATCACACGGTATAAAGCTTCGTTACGAATATAAAGGGTGACAAAGTTTTATGATCAAAATAAAAATCCATTAGTTTCTCTGAAACCACTCAAGTTATTGTTATAAAATTTGACAGGCTTTGTGATGGGAACTGGGGTATTTCTCATAAAAAACAAAACAAATTACAGTAAATTGTTTAATTAAAAAATTTGTACGTATACACTTATAAACTTAGATGTGTAATAAATATTCTAATAATAAAAACCTACTTCAAAGAAACCTCGGCACATAATTATTAACATTTTGTCCCAATAACAGTTTAAGCGCTTCTAAAATCGTTACATATGTTTGGAATCTTCTGAGATCTAAACTGCAAATTTGCGTCAAAAGCTGCTCATCATTTTGAACCGACAACTTTGATAACAGGATTATCAGTAACAACCGAAACGCATTATGATCAATATTCAAAAATGGTGCTGCAAAAGGGAACGGCCTAGGTTGATTATTCCCTTTCCTAAACCGGTTAAACCGTTGTCGATTAACAAAATGACGGCGCTTTGGGGACATTTTCTTAAAATTGTGTTTCCTGTTGAAAGGTTTTAATACACTTTGAGGCTTCTTCTCAGTTTTCATGCATTTTTTAGGTTCAGGTACTGAATTTGTCGCAGATGAATTGCCTGGTTTCAGTCTTTTCTCCTCTATACTAATTTGTTGATCATCTAGTCTGAAATAAATACGTAAGTTGGCTGTGATGTAAGTCAACGTCAATTACGTCAAATTAGTATCAGGTTCCAACTTCATTTCAGTCAAGTCACACTCGGGTTCCACCTTCTTCTCAGTTTTCATGCATTTTTTTGGTTCAGGTACTGAATTTGTCGCAGATGAATTGCCTGGTTTCAGTCTTTTCTCCTCTATACTAATTTGTTGATCATCTAGTCTGAAATAAACACGTAAGTTGGTTGTGATGTAAGTCAAAGTCAATTACGTCAAATTAGTATCAGGTTCCAACTTCATTTCAGTCAAGTGACAATCGGGTTCCATCTTGATTTCAGTCAAGTCACACTCGGGTTCCATCTTAATTTCAGTCAAGTGACTACTGGGTTCCATATTGATTCCAATCGCCATTTTGATTTTGTCCACCCACTCATCGTTACTTGCTTTGTAGTGTTTCTCAAGATTAATTTCAAATTCACAATTTTCGCTACAAATATTTAATGACTGTCTAAACCTAAGAATGTATTTATTATATTTTACTCGTCATCCGATTCGGGTTCAGTTTTTAAATGGTTCAAGTCATCTTCGTTTTCTTCTTTAACTTCAAGGTCAAAATCATAGTCAGTCATGACAAGATTTATTTAAAATAACCTAAGAATTCACTCTTTTCATATACAAAAACTAAAAGTCCCTAAAAAAATTTAAAAATCTAGTTGACTGTATGACAATTTATTTTCAACCAACTTAATTACGAATTTTTTACATGCTATACAATATTTTTACAAATCTCTTACAAGGTGTGCTCAATAAGTTAATCCTATTTTACTCGATCAACGCGACTAGATTTATTTCAAATAACCCAAAACTACTCTTTAACTTCATCCACAAACTAAGTCACTAAAAATCCAAAAGAAATTACGCTTTTTTGACACAAGTCTTTTGCTTATTCTCAACATAAAAATGAATTTTTCACAAGCTACGAGGGGTGTTCAAAAAATTAAAGTACTATATTTTTTGGACACATTAATAAATTCGTTCAAAAATTGTTTATCTACACCTATTTAATTATATGACAACTATGTAACTCTTCTGTGGCTGAAAATCGACTCACGTGAGAGTCAAGTATCAAAATTATCAATTTTCGTGTAATTTATTCCTTCAACAAGTGAAGAAAAAGCGATTCACTCAACTACGGTTCGTGTGCTTAAAATTAGTCATGGCCATCTTTGGTAACTATTGATATTAAAAAACTACGAGGTACGTTAAAAAAACGAGTTTTGCTTGCTTATAAGCTACGAGGGACGGTCAAAAAACACTTAATCATTTAAGATTTCTTCCTCCACGTGTTTCGTTCGATGTCTTACGACATTTTGATTATATTTCGACTCGTAATCACACACGTCGCACCTATAGATTGTCTCTTTTCTCACAACCACTTTGTGCTCCTTTTGATGTCTCAGCAACAGTGATTTATTCCCCGTTTTGAATACACATTCATCGCATTTGTAATTTTTTGGTTTCTCATGACTCTTCTTGTGTGCCTCAAACTCCTCCTTATTTTCCGTTTTAAATCGGCATTTCCGGCAACAAAACTGTCGATTTTCCCCATGTGCCGTTTCTACATGTTTCTTCAAACTGCGATGCTTCGCCGTCACGTAATCACAATGCGGACACGAAATTTTATTTTGTACGAAATTGCAATGCGCCCGATGGACGGACAAGACATGTTTATGAAACGAGAAAAAATCGCAGTATTTGCATTTGTATTGGCGTTGCTTGTCTAAATGGGCGTCCAAGTGGCTCAAAATCAGGCGGCGACGCTCGGTTTTGTACACACAAAGGGGGCACTTGAACGGTTTTTTCAAATAACCGCTTTCAACCATATCTTTGGTGCGGACTATCAACGTTGAGGAGCTCGACTCAAGGGGCGGTTTAGTTTCCACATTTGGGGCGGATTCCTCAAACATTTTTGCTTTGTTTGGGGAAACATAACCTCAAAGCGGGGATTTTCGCGACCGATTTGACTTAGGTTGGCAACGACTGGTGACCTAACACTGCGAAAATTACGACTCCGGGACAAGGTTTTCAGTAATTTTGCGGTTATTGCAACGTTTTTAATCACCGGAACGAGAAATAATCACTTTTTAACAAAATTTAAGAAACATAACCTCACTTAGTGACCGATTCAATTTCGCAAAACTGACACTCAAATTACAAATCTGGACGTTTATAACGATAAACTGACGTGGAAATAAGTAAAAGCACTTACCAGTAGACCGATTTAAGCCCTATTTGGGGCCACGCTTGATAATAATAAACTGTAAAATGACACACTTAGGTGTTTACTGTTTAGATTTCGTAAGTTGCAAATGGCCGAGTGTGCATAAGAGCGAAAAGTACAGTCGACCAGTTGATTTAACTACAGTGACTGTTGATTAACAATTCTTAAAAACTATTTAAATTCAAATAAAACATTATTGTTTCAGAATCATTAAAGTCGGGTTAAAATCGTATTTATTGACTAGTGTTTAACACAGCGCCACATGAGATAAATTTACAGTTGACCAGTTGAATTTTTAATTAAAAAATATTATACTATTTACATTTTTACATCTCGGTGATGGGTTGCTGAATGTTGTTTCAGCCGATACTTGATGGGAGTACTGTAACTACAGTCGGGGCACAGCCACTTATTGTGGCCCCTTTGATGCTTGAGATATTCTTCCTTGTTTTCAAAGACAATATCACACACTTTGCATTTGTGAATTCGTGGATGCACATCCTTGTAATGTGCGTTCAAAACCATCTTAAGATTTGTCGTAAAATCGCATTTTGTACAAACAAAATTTGTAACTTTCTGACAATGTTTCTCTTCTTTATGAAGCTTCAATTGCAAAGCAGAATTAGTTGTATAAGTCTTGCATTTATTACACACTCGTGTCCGTTTATATCGTATTGAACACGTTGTCATGTGTTTCCGCAAACTAAATCTTTTAAAAGTTTTAAATTTGCAATATGTGCATTCATAGACTTGGGCTTTGTTTTTACTGCATTCAAACATGTGCCTGCGCAAGAATCCATGGCTTTCAAAAACTTTCCCGCACTTTTTACAAGACGTTGGAAATTCTGGGGGGTTGTGCGACTCAATGTGGTTGTAATAAATCACTTTGTAGTTGGTTGAAAATGCACAAACCTTGCAGGTGTAACCCAAAACTGAGTCCTCCTCCAATTCACTACAATTAAATCGTCAATTACATGACTTTACCCAAATTTCACCGACGTTTCAGTCCCGTTTGACTCAGCTTCAGGGTTGAGAAATTCCTCAAGGTTCGGCTCGTCGATCGTTTCGGGGTCATCACAGGTTATTGAGGAGTCTTCGACGACGTCAACTGTGAAATCCTCGTCCACGAACACGGACATTACGATAGAAAAACATTAATAACGAAAATAAATTACTTCGTTTGAGGTTAGGGCGGTGACAGAAATGGTGGCCAACATTGATCAAATTCACGACTCCTTAATTAACGTTGGTACTCTTAATGTCACTAAAATTCATCAAATTTTAAATTTATAACAAATTAATTTTTTATATTTTATGGACATGAAAGTCACAATAGTTAAACTAAATCATTTTGAATGTTTAATATTAATATTTGTAGCTTATTTGGTATTTCAAATTTGCCGAATTTCGTGTCCTCCATCTTTCGCAATTGTCGTATTTTACATATAACGAATTGTTTAATTTTCACATATTTGTACAATTTTCCACGTAAATAAACTCAAATCATTAAATATACATCGTTAAGGTACCATTTATTACACATTTTGCACTTGATTACGCGAATAATCCAAAATTTGAGGTTAGTAAAACCTGTCTTACATTTGTTAAATTTCCCAATTCCAGTGAAATTCTCACGACAATGGACGTAAAATGTGAGCCAGAAGGTAGCAATTGCATCAGGCTTCTTGAAAATTACAGTTGCAGTAATTGCAATTTCGGAACTACCCTTCAAGTGGACCTATTTTGTCACTTGAAAGCCAAAAAAGACTTCAAAGTGAGGTGTTACACGTGTAGTAAATGCAAATTCCGGACATTCTCACTCCTGTGTTGGTTCAAACACAATTACGATTATTGTCCGTTTGTGAAAGAGCACACACGGAGAAAACTAGCTATGCAGTGCCCCCATTGTTCGTTTAAAGCCAAGCAACAAGCCCACGTTGAAAGACACATCATTGCAAAGCATACAAACCCTGAGGATATTCAGTGGTTCAAATGCAAGCTTTGCGACTATAAAGGGAAAATAAAGTATGCTTTAAATCTGCACATGAAGCTGAAACATACGACAGATAACGAAGCGGAATGTTTCAATTGCGGAATGTGTGATTACAAATCAAAGAGTAAAAGGAATGTTAAAAGACACACTTTTACGAATCACACAGCACCTGAGAAGATAGTTTGGTTTAAATGCAGTTATTGTGAACACAGAACTAGATTTCTAAATAAGTTAGATAATCACATTGTTGTGAAACACAGGTCACCCCAACCGGTCCAAAAGTGGCACAAGTGCACAATGTGTGGTTACAAATCGAAAGTAGAAGTGTATTTATTTAGGCATTATAAAACCGTTCACGGGGCGTATGTCTTAGAGAGTCATCAGTAATGTTTGGTTTATTTTTTTTTTCTCTTTAAAACACCCAAAAATTTTTCGAATCAATTTTTATTCACTTATTATCTAACACATCAATTAGTAATGAGTACACTAATGAATAGGTCGAAAATAATATCGACAAATTTCGGAATATTTGAGACAACTTTGTGTAAAATCACAAAAAGTATACAAAACTCGCGCCCCAGAGAAAAATATCAAGTAAGACAAAAAAAAATACGAGGAACATGGACGCAAGTTCTGAGATACCGGGTGATCAAGAATGACGTTTGAGTTGGCAATGCTGATTTCATGCGTGCAATTAAATTAAGTTGGCAACATTGTCGATTTGCATTAGAAAGCTGACGTTTTAGTCAAAAAGGTAAAAAATCACTTTTTATTAATAAAAACTACAATTTGAGTATGTTTTAAATATCACTTAATTACAATTAATAAAATTCCCACTTATTATGAAAAAGAATTATGGAAAAACTAACTAAAAATAAAATTAAAGGTATTTTTTTTTGTCGTATACATAATTAAAAATAAATGTTTTGGTGCAATTTTATTTCAACTTGAGGTTTAACCACCGACTTAATTAAGTTGGCAACAATGGAGACTAAAAAATACGATTAACTCGTAATTGCGAAGGATTTTTTTTCCCTAATAGTCTTGGTACATTTTTAATTAGTTCACATGCCTTCAATTAAGTTGGCAACACTGCCAACATTGTATTATTGAACATTGGTGTTTTTTACTATTTGTTACCCAAAAATTTGTCATTTTCGTCAAAAAAAAATCAATATATGTATGTCGTGCCATTTAAATAGCATTCTGTCACTTTATAATGTTTTTTCTGTATGAAGTAGTAGAGTATTTTGGCTCTAAATTCGTCAGATTCTTCTTTTACACAGAAACCAATTATTTGTGACCTATATAACCTCAAAAACACAGTTGCGACGTTGACAGTGTGGCGACTGAAATGGCACAAGGTGTATTCAAAGGTAAAATGTCGCGTTTTATTGAAAAAGATGCAATTTAAAGTACGTAATAACTAAAAATGAAAAAAAAAAATATATATATAAAAAAATAATGTTTTGGTGCAATTTTAATTCAACTCGAGCTTTAACCACCAATTGTATTAAGTTGGCAACAATGGAGACTAAAAATCAAAATTTGGAGGTATAGAGCGTTCCAAAATGATTGACATCTTGGTAGGACATGAAAATTTAAATTTAAAGTGGCAATATTTGTACTTTGAGAGTTCTAGGTTGTTCATTTGTATAGTATTGCACCCACTGAGGTTGAAGATACGTCATATTTTTAAGTGGTTTTTGTGCTTGATCTCTCCTATTTTCAAATTTTTCTTGAACAAATAGGTTGTTATTTTTTCAGACAGAATTCCACAGAAATGTGATTTTTTACAATGTATCAGGATCTAAAGAACGTTTACGTTAATAATTTTTTGGAACTAAAATTAAAGTCTGGTTCACACTCTCAAAGCCTACCGAGATGTCAATCATTATAAAACGTTCTATAAATAAATTTTATTTAAAAAATATAAAAAAATGCAATTTAAAGTACATATTTTAATATACGATAGAGAGAACGGCAAAATTTCAATCAAATAATACATTTTTTAATTAATTGAAAATAGATGTTGATGCATTTTGAATTCAATTAAAACATCACAAGTACCATCAAAGTTTTGATCAAGGTAGTATACGACTTTGAAATTATGTAAGTTGGCAACATTAAATAATGAAAAGTAGCAGTTTTATCTGTCGCATGTGACCAAAAAATCTATTGGCAACACTGAATTATTGATGATATTTTAGAATGTTCCAAAAAGTGTTGCCAAATTAAAATTTCATGGCTTACGTGACGACAAAAATTATAAAACAGTGTATAAAACAAAAAAAAAAACTCTTTCAACTTTGTCATTCTTCATCACCCAGAGTAAAAAAATCATGGTTGGCGATAGTAATTACGTCATTCTCGCCATAATTTTCAAAATTCGCCCCCATTTGAATAAAAAACTGATCACAGACAGAAATAAAACAGTCGCAAATCACCTCCTCAGACATGGCTCCTCTTGTAGTGCTTCTCCAGCTGGTAGGGGCTGACGCACTGGTAGCTACACTTGGTGCACTTCTTCGGCTTATCTCCGTGAATATAGAGATGCTTCCTGAAGTTGCTTTTATCCTTAGTTTGGTAGGAACAAATCGTGCATTGGTGCATCACCGGTCCATGTTTGGCCACTTTATGCCTCTGGAGCGCCACTTCGGACGTCGCCGTGAAATAACACATGGGACAAGTCACCACTGAGGTACCCCCATCGTGCCCCAAATGCACCACTTTCAAGTGCCGTCGCAACGAGCCCGAATCGGTGGTTTTGTACTCGCATTGCGTGCAGTTGTACCAATTGGCTTTGGTGTGTTTGGCATTGACGTGGTAACTGAGACGGTAGCGCCGACTCGTTGAGTACTCACAATAGGGGCACTTGTGCTTCTCTGAATTGGGGGTCGGGAGACATTTGTGGCTGATCAGCTTGGCTTTGTCCATTGTGGCAAACGCGCAATGATTGCACGTCAATAACAGAACTTCCTTGTCGTCGGGCTGCGCCCGAGGCAGCGTCGGAGCCCCATTCAACTTAATCACATCGATCTCGGGGCTTGTCTCCAACTCAGCGAGCTTCCTACTAGTCTCCGAGTCATCCACGTCGCACACGACGCAACTCAAGTTGATTTTGCATTGAGAGTCAACGTTGTTGCGTTTCAAATAAGACAAAATCTTATCTTCGGATGCTAGACACTTGTTTTTGAAGTTGTAGAAACTCTCAAACAGTGTTAAGCAGTCGCTGCAAATGCCCGGCTGCTCGGAAATGTACAAATCCTGGAAATCACACATCAAAAAAAAACTCAAATCGGGGGGTTCACACACCATTTCAGGTACACACAATTGTAACACATCTTTAGGAACGGTATTGCACTTTTGCGAATTGTCAAACGTGTCGATGTAACAAAACGCGCTTTTGTCGACTATTTGGAGACATGTACGGCAAATCATCGACATTTTAATACCATAAAATTCGATGTTTGCAAAAAGTGAGGTTATGTCAATACATGTCAATTGTCAAAACTGACCAGTGGCGTAACAATTTTAAACCCAAAAATTATTGACATAATTGCGTAATTCAAACCGACTTTGTGCCCTACTAGGGTCCACAATAACACTTATCGTACTTTCATAATTTTCATCATTGATTAAGCATATAATATAGTTGATCAATGTTTTTACTCAATTTTTTGACGCCGATCGCCAGTGGCGTAACAGGCAACGGGTCAATCAATCATTCGATTTATTTATTTTCGCACCAGTTATTACTAGATCAACAAATTCTCTAATTCTTCACTCGGTGAGGCGTGTGGTAACATCACTTGCGTCTCTTCGTTTTTACTCGGCGATTCTTGCAAAACTGTCATCATCTATACACAAAAAAATCAAAAATTGTAATCAAATCAAGGGAATTTAATACTTGGGGGGAATATTGCTCCACTTTGTCTAGTAAAGTTTCCGGATATCCGGGCGAGTAGTATCGAACGATTTCTTCCGGGAAACAGGAATTAATGATTGATATGTATTCCATGAGCGTCGTTCCGGGTTGGGCTTCGATGTATTGCATCCTCTTCAGGCCACCTGTCGTAACGAAAAGGCGCCGGGCTTTGGGGTCGTGAGGGAGAATCTATGCAAAAAACATGATTGACACTATTTCCCGCTAGAGGGCGCGATTCAAATCAAACTAAGTTTCTAGTGACATTTTATTAGAAAAAACCCAACAGCGTTATTGTTATTACACATCAGCAAGGTTTACAACTAGGTTCGGCAGTATAAAATTTGTCAACTAATAAATGAATTTGGTGTATATTCAGTTATCACTCGTATAAAATTCAGACATCCGGTGATTGCAATATAGTTCTATAGATAATTGAAGGCGTTAACACACACACACACTAGATGCTCTAATTGGTGATCGGTGAAGGCACTTTTTTGACACTGATTCACATTTAAGCCAAAAGTGCGCCAAAATCAAAAAAAAAAGGGACGGCTTAAAAACTACAAATCACTCACTTTCACCGTCTTGTTTAATAACATTATAGTTCGACTTTTTCGTTTTTAACATTCTCAAAAACGAGCCAAGGGCAAAAATCGACCTTCTATGCCTCTGAAAAATCTCCGAATACAGCGTGTCTCTTAAAACCTTCCTATCCAATTCCCTCGTCCTGACTTGCGTCACCGTCGGCATTTTACAATCCATTTTCGCCACCCTGTATGTATCACAGACGATTCCGCGTAAGGCTTAAGTAATCGAGGCCATTCTGGCCTTAAGCACGTCGTAGTACACCTCGAAGAACTCGTGGTAGACGTCAGCGTACGCCGACGCCGTCACGACGTCTCTGCGGCCCCCTAAACCGATCAGAAGCCTCTCAAAATCCTCCACTTGAACGGTTTCGCGAATTTTGCGCACCTGTCGATTGACCACGTCTTCGCCGAGGAGGACGACACGCGGACGTGGAGCCTCGACGACGCTGGTGGCGGCCGAACAACTGACGGGACTGGCGTCCAAAACGATACGCTGAGTGTGGGGGCGGCGAGGACGGCGGAGTTTAACTCCAACAATGGACAGATTGATGGTGTTCACGTAGAGTTTTTCAGAGGGTGGCTTTCGCAACATCGTCTCGACATTTTTGTGGCGTCGCGGCGCACTGCAAACGATCGATACGGACAGCGACGTTCTCGATTGACTCCACACGCGTCGATGTTTACTATTTACGCGGCGGATTTTGTCTCATAACAAAATAATAAGCAAAGAATTGATCAATTGATCATAAACATGAAAAAAAAAACAGTCTTTTTTTATTGGCAATTAATTATTATGGGCACGCAACCAGTTATACACACACAAAAAAAACAATAATTAAAACAAAACATTGTTTGGCTTCTTAGAATTGACAATTTTTCATTAAAAAAAATCTTCCTAATTGTGAAATTGCAGTAACTTTTTTAATTTTCTCAATTTCGTTTAAGGAGTGTATAACTGGTTGCATACCACTAACAATAATGTTTTTTTTAAGTAAAAAAATTTGTTTTGTTTTTTAGAATTAACAGTTTTTCATTAACAAAATCTTCTTAATTGTAAAATTGCAGTAAAATTTATTAATGTTCCC